AGGAAGGAAGGAAGGAAGGAAGGAAGGAAGGAAGGAAGGAAGGAAGGAAGGAAGGAAGGAAGGAAGGAAGGAAGGAAGGAAGGAAGGAAGGAAGGAAGGAAGGAAGGAAGGAAGGAAGGAAGGAAGGAAGGAAGGAAGGAAGGAAGGAAAGCAGCATGTAGACTGAAAGGGGAAAACAATGTATGTATAATACATGAAATCCTAAACTGTAAAATATTGCAAAATGTCTACCAGACTAGTGAGAGTAATAAGCTATACAATGAGAAAACAAAATATGTTTAGATAGATTTGACTGTATATAATAAGCAATAGAGAAGCATCTGAATTCATACACATGGAGAAAATAATAGGTACAAAGAAAAAATTACTTTTGAACTTCATTTTTATTTATAAGGAAGTACATTTCATGTATCCCAGCAGATCCTTTACAAAGATGATCACAGATACTTATAATCATGGTGAAAAACTAACATAAGATGAATGAATTCTACTTTAAGAAACATGAGGTCCTTCCAGGAATGTATTATTTTGATTTGCTCTACAACAATAGCAGTCTTTTGATACATTTGTTACATGGCTGAAGAACATTTGAATTTCCTGCCTCAATACACATAAGATGTTGACATCCTAATAGTAAGAGTTCAACAATACATTACTGCTACGGCATGTCCACTGGTTTCTCATGTCTAGACAAAGCAATGGGGTCACTGGTTTTCTTTTCATAAAAAGAGGATCTTTTACTGTACCTTCTGCAAAAATTAACCTATGCATATTATTAAGATCCCTCCCATTACTGTTATTTCATGCAAAGTTGGGACTCAGCTTGCTGACACTTTCATTTGTTGATTTGGATCCTAGAAGTAGGAAACAACGTTTTACATGAAACAATTTTTTACATGTGATTTTTACATGTATTTTTTGTATCTTTATGGAGAGTCATGCAAAAGCATACGGTAAATGTAGATTCATTTTTACTCTCATGGGCATTCAGTCTGAGTTGTCTGTATTTGCTTTTTTAAAACATGAAGGCAATGTCCCAGCTTATAATGGCACTGCACAGCTGCACAATAACATTGCAATAAAATTTGACAAGTGCAATGAAAACTATTAAACCAGGCAATATCAAGACTTATAGCATCCCTGGCTCCAGTGACCAAATTAAGCACTGTGTAAAGTGTATTCATATACAAGTATTGTTCATATTAGTTAAGATAATTCCAAGTTTGCTTTTTAGGTGAAATTAGCAGTTCAGTAGCAAAAGAGTAAACATGATAGGAAATTATTTTGCACAGGAATTGTAAAGGGTTTCAGTCTGCTGAAACTCTTACCAAAATATCGGGATAATACAAAGTTCCAGAGAGACCAAGAAAATTTATCTGAGAAATGTTTCCTGGCTAAGCAAAATAGATGTGTATTTACCAGTGTCCAGGATCAGGTGCAGGACTAATTAAGCTTTTTAAAATTGAAGATAGAAAGCACAACCAGCATTGCGTTCAGTTTTGGGCCTCTCAGTACAAGAAAGACATCAAGGCCCTGGAATGTGCCCGTAGAAAGGCAACAAAACTGGTGAGGGGTCTGGAGCACAAGTCTTATGAGAAGCAGCTGAGGGAGCTGGGTTTGTTTAGTCTGGAGAAGAGGAGGCTCAGAGAAGATCTTATTGCACTCTACAACTTATATTGTGATGAGAAGGGGTTTGGCCTCTTCTCCCAGGAAACAAACAAGACCCAAGGAAATGGCCACAAGTTGTGCCAGCAGAGGTTTAGATTAGACATAAGGGAAACTTTCTTCTCTCAGAGAGTGGTCAGGCACTGGAATGGCTGCCCAGGGACGTGGTGGAGTCGCCGTCCCTGGCAGTGTTCAAGAGGCGTCTGGATGAGGAACTACAAGATATGGTTTAGTGCTTGTGGTAGCAAGGGTAATTGGAGAATGGTTGGATTAGATGATCTTCTAGGTCCTTGGGATTCTATAATTCTATATAGAAGTATCACTCTACATTTTATTAAAATGTATACTCATTACCTCAAGCTTCCATTACTAGCAGTCATTGGAGACACGACTTGAGACAGACAGCATGATCCAAAGGTGTTGTATATATATGGCTGAATGTTTATGTCTCAGAGACTGATTGTTCACTTCTGGGCCAGTGCTGTAGAATGCCTTCATATCTGTGCCTTGACCGTCCTCATCTACAGCAGACTGGCTTCATCTGCATGACATTTGCCACAGGTATCCCCACTGCCCCATTTTGGTGGTTTTCCATGTATTTTTTGTGGGCTTTTTCCTGGTTCAGAGTGTTTAAAACATCATGAGATCAAAGCTTTAGTCCACCAGCACAGAAGTTACGTATCATACACTAATAAAGTTATGTGTCCTAGGACATGGCACGAAAGTGTTTGTTTGTTTAAAGCTTGGCAAAAGTGTTAAAGAACCAAATTTACTGAATTTTACCAGAATTTATTTTTCCTGACTTGAGAGGCCTTCAGAATGAACAGTCCCCCAAAACCATGGCTGGGTTTTGTCTCACAAAGACCAGTTAGTATACTTTAAAAGCAAGTCAGGGAGTGAATTCTTACTTCAAGATCTCAGCTCATTTAGCACTGAACATGTATTCTGTGCAGTTTTCTATATGGATGGGCAAAACAATTAAATTGAAGTGGTAAGAAGGAATGAGAGCATTTAGGACAGTACTCCAGTCACATGTGTAAACAGGACCGCAGTATAGGTCCTTCACTGCTACGCCACATCACAGAATTGCAGGGATTGAAAGGGACCTCTGGAGATCATCATTTCCAAGTCTACCTCCTTGTCCAGTTAACCCGTTAATTAAAAACAAGCAGCACTTAGATCAAAATTACTTCTAAAGGTGGTGAATGTATGCATTGTTTCAGAGCTAAGGAGATGACTTAGGGATAGTGAGAGAAGTAAATCTTAACACTCTTTCAGAGGTATATCAGATCAAGTTGTATGGACAGCATGGATATTTATGAACACAATACATTCAAAGAGAGATTAGATACCACTGTGCAATGCAAATGGGTGAAAGATGAATAACAGTATGTCATGTTAAACTGTCCAATGAAACCACAAATATAAATACTAAACTTTGCCCAGACAAGCAACATCTCTGTTGCGAACAAGTTATTACTTCTCCAAATACCATTTACCAAAGTCTAACTGCAGTAATCAAATATTTGGTTTGAACATGCATCTTAAATGTTGCCTCAGCTCAGCTATTCCAGTAGCTCTATCTGGAACAAAACCACTGTAGCTGAGAATTCTTAGGGAGGGACTTCATGTATTTGCACAAAGCAGTGAGGCTCATGACCTGGTGAGGACTGCTGGTGGGTGATGACAGTTTAAGTGATCCCTATAGTTCTGCTCAGTTGCACTGTTCAGGTAAGACTTTGCTCTGTTTATACGGATTTGTTAAGCATAAAATAACATCAGAACAGAGATTGGAGTAGAGAGGAAGGAAAAAAAAGCAGGGAGGAGAGAGAGTTGATTGGAGTTAAAAGTACATAAATCACTTCAGAAATATAATTTGCAAATTCATTGTGTGAAGTAATTAATCAAAGCATGGCTGAGTTATAGTACTTGAGAGACTTTGATCTGACAACTGGAAGAAATATAAAGAAACTACTGAGTATCAAGATACAGTTTAGAACGCAAAACGTTTCTCCATGCTAGTCACAAGTTTAATTACTTCTTTTTTTCTACTGACAGACTGAAATTAAAATAAATGGGCCACATCGAGACAAATTTCAGATGCATGGAGCACTTGAGAATATATTGTTCCCATAACACAGGAATGCCATGAAATATATTAATAAAGCTGTTCAGGATTTTTTGTTTCACTGGGAAATGCACTGAGATCAGAAAATGAAATACGCAATAAATGCTTAACATTTTCTATTTATCTGCTTAATTTAGAGATTCTAAAGTGTTTAAATTTTTACTATAATATACACATCTCCCCAGGTTTACAGCAACATGTCACAAGGAGAATAATTATGGTAAAGCAACAGAGACAGTAGTCAAATGTTAACAGAACTACCTTAATACTGCCGTTCATTACCCTAAAATACAAAGTGATTCAGTGTGAGTAATACATAGAGATTGTTCTGGTAACTCATACAAGCTTGAGGTTGCTGAAAGTGCTGAAATATTTTTAAAATAACTAAATGCACTTTTGGAAAATAAAATCTTTCTTGTGTAAAATATATGCAAATCTGTATTACAGATATTACATTTTTTCAAACTAAGTGACACTACTAATAAATAAATTACTATGTCAGTTTGTACTGCTACCACACCCTGTGAAACACAGCTGCTGCTGGTCCACCATAATGAAACTTGTACAAATAACCAGCAGTCAGTAGCCATGTATCAGGGTCGGCACTCTTAGGGTAAACATTTCTAGTCATTTGCCTTAAAGCGACAACATAAAAGTGAAAATCTGTTACATCACCTGTGTTCTGACTGCTCACTTCCTATTCTATACTCCTTACTGTTACATACTCAAATCAAACAAACAAACACAGATGAAAACCAACCTCTAAAACTATTCCTCTGCTATATTCCTCTCTGATAGGAAGAAGTCTTGAACTGTGCTTTAATCTCCAGGGCAATGACCTCACTCTTTCCCTTTCCTCCCTCCCAGTACATTTCTCCATCTGTTTCACACAGTCTCTTACCTTCTTGTCACGGTTTTCTGCCCTGAGTTATCTGTAATCAGCAAATAAACACATAATCACTAATGTTAATGAAGAATTAGGAAGAAAATCCTCCTTTTTGTCCATTAGTGTGGCCAGCCAAATACAGATGCTTCACTAGCTGCTGCTGTTGTTTATCCATAACTCCTCAATATGTGGTACACACAACAGCAACGAAGTAGATTCATTTTCCTGTCCCTGCAGAATGAATGGCATGGGTTATTGAGCAGTTTTACAGCAGTGGGATCCAGAAACCCTCCTGTAACTATGTGAGTCTGCCAAGCTTGACAGTAGGCTGGAGTTGTAAGAAAAGTGAACCATGTAACAGAAAGAGAATAGCAGCATTTCTTCTGGGAAACAAACCCAAAACCAAGACAATACAAAAGACGTGAACACCCTTTTTTTTTATGCGATTCACTTTTGAAATCATTCTTAAGTAAGGTTTTTTTAAAACAGACACATTCACCTTTAAGAGTCAGGATCTTTAAGATCTCCATCTCCTGGGATACACTGGTATCTTCAGGTCTTCTTTAGCTTCATAGAAATGAAGGAATTAGTAAATTACACGGAGTATGAAGCCTGATGTTTCAAACCTTAAACTAAAAGTGCAATCTTCCTTTCTGCAGACAAAACAAAAGCACTGTTTTAAAGCACTGAAATGTCTCAGCAACTGCAGTTCTAGAGACAATGAGTTCTGCAAGTCCCAGACTCACCGTATCCTTCCTGAGGCCCTGTTTCCTTTCAGGCATCAGTGTTTCTTTCCCAGGCATCCAGTCTCAGCTTTCAAACTGTGACTTGCTGAGTTCTCATGTCACCAGAACTATGTTTTGCAAACCAGTGGTTCCCAGAACTTTTCAAGAGATGCGTCATCCACTGGTTCCCAGAACTTTTCAAGACTTGTGTCTATCTCTTGCAAGGCTACAAAAGACAGTAAAGGAGGGTTGAACAGGAGAAGTAGAGATAAAGAAAGAGAAAGAGAAAAAGAGAGAAAGAAAGAGAGAAAGAGAGAGATAAATAAACAAACAAATAAATAAATAAATAGACAAAAAGGAAAAGGAAAAGGAAAATGAAGAAGAAAGGAAGAGAGAGAAAAAAAAGAAGAAAAAAAAAGATTCTTGAGTCCTTCTGCGTTCTCTATGAATTCATGAAGACAAATATGATTAGGGAAGGCCACCCCTCAAATGGAATGTCTTCTTGTTCATACAAGTTTATTTAAAATATATCTACATACAACTAAAAATCTCAAACATAGGGAATAAATTTCTTCTAACTTCCTTGTCTTTCACTTCAGTACACTGAGAAAAAAAAGATCTTATGAAATCTAGCTTATCTTCTTAACTAAAAATGAAAAACTAATTAAGTAGTTTTCCACAAGAACTTCATCTGTGGAAAAAGAATTGCAAGAACCCTTGAAAAATAAAACTTATATAAGACAGTCCAAAATATCATTAACCCTTGCTACATATCTTGTAAATTTATTCTTATTCATTTTCTTCAGTGCCTTACACAAAGAGATTTTGTGACTTTCAAATCTTCCCTTCTGCCTCTGTCTTATATACCCATTTTCTTTGGATAAATGTGTTTACTGTGAGAAAACAGAATAGAAGTATTTGATTCAGAAGACAAATCTGAAGGGAGGATGTAGAGGAAAGTCGTGAAGAACAGATAGAATAGGTAGCTCTCTGAATAAAAGGAAGAAGTAAAGGGACACAAGACAGTAAAATACAAAAGGCAAGAAAAGATAAATGTTGAAATGTCATATCAAGTGGTAGAGAATATCTTTCGACAACAACCTAACTTTTTTTAAACAATAATTTCCAACGCAGGGTTGGAGCCCTATTCTGTCTATAGAAATAAAATGTAACTGTCATAAGCTTGGGTACCTCAGTAGTCACTGCTTTTCATTTTGCGATCTTTTTCTTTATGTCTGTCACAAAGATAAGCAACATTCTTCTCCGTTGGGTAAGTAATGTGAATGTTACAAATATCTACTACAGACAGATACTTAATCCTTATTTGCCACCTATTGATATTCAAACTATGCAACCCACATTTTGCACAGAAGTGAACAGTGTTCCACAAAAGCAAGTATCTGTTTCTTTGACCATTTAACTTTACCAGCAGGTTATTTCTAGTTATTTCTCTATCCTCTTTCCCTTGGGGGAAAAAAAAAAAATTAATTGCTAGGAATGTTACTCTGTTACCAACCTTTGATGGTCCTCGCAGTTGTTCATTGGCTATCAAGTAACCTGGAGAAATGAAGTCATTACAAAGGATGTACACCATCATCCAAGATTCTATGCTTTCTGAATTAGAAGTCTATATGATACCAATAGCAGTCTCATTAAAATTTGTTGTTATATATCATCATCTATATTGCATTCAATTTCTATACTAAGGATGTGGTAACAACTAAGAACCTTCTACAGTGTGGATCCAACTCCTTTTGATATACTTCTCCCTCAAAGTCACAAGTTGGTCTTCTTCACCAGTCTTCAGCAATTCTTGCCCCCATGTAATGAGGCACTAATATGACATTCTGATCACTTTTTCCTTGGTTTTCCATGGTGCCCCTCCTTGAATTTGAACAGGTGATATTCCTTAAATCTGGCTGTCCAAGAAAAATTTTACTTCTTTTTTTATTTTTTTCTAATTTGAATCTGTATGTGGAATTTTAAAAATCAAATTCCCAACATTTTCATTAATTTTCTACAGGATGAAATCTTATTGGCCTCTTCTTACAGGCAGAAAACTAAGAAGAATGATGAATTCCATATTCCCAGAGTTAAATATGTGAAAAGTGCATGTGCATGCGAAAGTCCTGGGAAGAAGCTCCTCCTCTCCATTCTCTTAATTTAGCCTTAAACTCGTAGAAATGTCCATAATCAGCACTGAAAAGTGTTCTCTGTGTTGATACATCATACTTCAGAAAAAAGTGGATGACAGAAATCTGTGATTTTGAGATGAGATCTGCACGCGCTTAAAAGGAAGATACAACAGGAGGGGGAGCTCTCAGTACATTGGCAATAACGAAAGCAAGTTCCAGTGCAGCGTTTTCCAAGCAAGGAAAAGGATCAGCCCCCCTTCCCCCCCACACACACACCCTTCTGCTTTTATCGTGGAAAAGGAACCATTTCCCTACTTGCAGAGACTAACCTTTGGCATTTACTGGCAAAAATATGTTTCTTCAAATTACACCTTTCCTTAATCAAAAGCTTTCTTGATCTCTGGTTATATGTGGTATGTTGTTTGTTGCGTTACAAAAGAAAAACTGACCTAAACATCTTCTCATCTTTGCTTTTTTTGATAGAATACACAAAATCTAACTTGATTCAGAAAGCAACTACAGCAAACATCAAGAGAAAGATCAAGGACAACATAAGTAACAAGTCAGAGATCCAAGAAGTGTTGTACAACTGCTCTCTGTTATCACTTTCTCTCTTAGGTAATTATTTCATGTTTTCTGCTCAGAACCAAAAACTTCTCCTGCCCTGTGACCTATTATGTCAGATACATACTTTAGTTTGTGATCTACCAGTGATCCCCCCCAGAAATCACATTCCTTCTTTGCAGCTTTTTCCTCATTTATTGCAGTGTGCTTCACTCACTCAAGTTGAAATCAAGTAGAGACATTTGGGATGTCTAAATACGAAACAGCTAATTAGAGTCTAGATATATACACAAGTAACAAAGGAAAGAAGTTCACTTTGTAAGCAAAAAAGAAATATCACTGAAATCAGTCAGTAATAACTCATCCAGCCATTGCCATCTAGCAATTTCATTACAGGTAACAAGAGGACCATGTAGAATGATTGAAAGGAAGGTTTAATAGACATAGAACAGGCTAGACATGAGAAGAGAGACTGTAAATATTTTTGAATCACTACCTTCATAAATTTCTAATAAAATGGGATGATTTCTTGTGTTATAACCCTTGGCAAGGCATGTGTGATGCAGAAAAAAAAATATTTAAATGGTTCTAAAATGATCTAATTTTATTTGCCTGGCATTACTGCAAATAATTCTGAATGTAACCTTCAAAAGAGAAAACGACGTGACATTTTCCATCCTCCTATTATGAGTTTGATTCAGCCCATTGAATACTGTAATATCAATAGATGCTAGGTAAGCTGAAAAAAAAAAGATGTAAAGAAAGACTATGAGTAACAAAATACTTGAGACCAATCAAAACTAAATAAATATCGGCTATTTAATGCTTACAAACTAATCATGAAATTAGTAAGAAATAACTGCATTAAGTAAAACAATAATAGAAGTAAGAAATCTGTACAGATACCCAAAAATAAAAACATAAAAAAGAAGAATGGTCCAAGGAATAGAAGGATTTAGATGATGCTTGCTTAATTTAGCAAACCAGATGCTGAGAAAAGAGAATACACTAGAGAAGAAGAAAAGCTAGTAAAGCTGAAAAATAAAAGTTCATCCAAGACTGATTAAAAAAAAAAAAATCTTGCATAAGATTGCACTGGAAAATTTGAAGAGGGTTTTTAATTGCCAGAGAAGTAAGATAGAAGCTTAATTATTTTTAAGATAGAAGTTGGTACATCTCTGAATGCAATGTGGTTGACAGGAATAGAAGAGAGTGGTACCCAGGAGGTCCTAGCTGCTCCACATGACCCAGAACACCCGTTTGAATCTTATGCCCATACAAAACAGAGGCTTATCATCACTGATACTCTACAAACAGAAAAAGAGGCTAAATTTCTCAAATTTTGCACTTGTGTAGTGAATAGAATTCAACTAATATTAATGAATTCTCTTAGTAGAACAAATTTAAAGATTTGTGGTTTAGTACTCTAATGACACACATCAGACTCTCAGAGAACATTTGCTATCAATCTCACCTACACCAAGATTTTTCTTGTTTTCTCTTTTTGTCCCTCACAAATCAAATATTTCAATTATGATTTACACAAATTAAAAATTTTTGTAAAAAAAGTAGCATAAGTAAAAATGTAATTTAAAAGAACTTCTAGATCCAAAACCACTCTGTAGTGTTACAACCTCAAAGCATCCAACCTACTTGATGAAAGCTATCTGTAAAAACACAAACATATAAAGTTATAGGGAGACATCTATAATGTGATCCAAAAGTTATAGATAAATAAATACATCTATTAAGTTACTTCTAAAGCAGAAATGTGGAGGGTCTTTTACTGAAACTTGTTTCAGAATAGTCTTTGGGCTATAGCACAGACATCCTGTGGAGCTGAGCTTCTGGAAGCTACGTAGCACACAACTCCTGGGGTACCACACTTGAGGGTTGTTGGGTTTTTTTGTTTGTTTTTTTGCATGGTTATTCTCTTTTTATTTCACAGAGTTCACTCCTGGTGCTATGTGCGCTCATGATCCTCAGCAGGTCTTCAGGCATGTAAGTTTGAATCAACAAAATGGGCCTGAGCATGCTCCAGTTAGTCAGATTTTTCCCTTAGGGAAGTCTTCTAAATCCTCATGGTTCACAATACCTAAATGACCAAGTGGAGAAAGTGAAAGAACTTACCGTTAGTGATAGGTACTTAATTTAGTTATGGATCTCAAAGCTGTTATTATCCACTTGCAGATATGGTCTTTGTGCACTTTTTTTATACTTATATATCTAAAGAAGCCCTGAGCTAGCAAATTTAAGGGATACTACTGCTTTGCAAGTAGAGTGACACAGTCAGAAAGGAGAAGAAGGAAATAAAACCTAAGCTGATAAATGATTCTATTCATTTCATGGGAGAGAACACAGGTAGAAGGCAGTTGTGGGTCCCTTTGCAGATCTAGTTGGAAGTTCACTGGGAAATATTCAGCTACAATTAAAATGGTTGCCATTAAAAAATCTTTGGTAGATGAAATGCGCAGTAGATCAAGTGGTAGCCAGCGTCTCCCTCAGAGCACCCTAAAAACTGGGTTTGAATTCATAAGTGACCTGATTGTACATGTGCAAATGCTTCCATATAAAGGTTAGGCACCCATTGTTACTGCAGCGTCTGTTAAAAAAGATAGCCATATCGGTTGCTAGGAGATGGCAGAATTCTCCTGGAGAAAAATCACTCCTGATAAAAAAAAAAAAGATTTTACATAAAGACCTTCTTAAATATAAATATCTTTGACAGCAGCTATTATTACTCACTGAGTTCCTTCGCAACTGAATAAATGGCAGAAAAATATATTATTCAAATATCATTATATCCTAAAGTGTTAAATAGATTTTTCTCTCTTTTTTCCCCTCCTTTTTTGTTACTCCAATGTGATATTTCTTTCCAGCTAAAATTACTGCCTTCCTTTTTCTGTAGACCATTACATGAAAGAAACATTTGGAGAACTGAGCTCAAAAATTGAACTTGCTTGTCTTCCACTATGAAACCAGATTTGCTTAAAACAAATTGTACAGTAGGATAAACACTTTACTGGGAGGGAGCTGGGATGCAAAAAGATGAAGGGAAGCTTGCAGCAAGTCTTCACAAATGGATGGATGGGGGAAGGCAGGTGGAAGGCTGTGTCTCGTGAAAGCAACCAACCATCCAATTCCATTTCAATAATGTTTGTAATTTTCTCCCTATTGGGGTTGCTGGAAGAACAGCTGCCCTATATTTGTGACCATGTGTCCAGCTTTTGGTGAATATGACCCTAACAAATACAACACAAAACAAATGATATACTTGCTGTTTTAAACTTGTGTAGTCAATAAATGAAACAATAATCTTTCCTAATTTAGTGTGCTCAGACTTGTCATTGTGGCCATGAGAACTCCTCAGCTGCAGAAGACAAAGGCATGCTGCCCACACAATACACGGTTCCAGCAGCTGTGCCTTCCATTGACTCAAGCTGGAAGAAATGTAGATCAAATACCAACAATAACAGATCAATGTTGTAAATATTAGCATGAGAAAGAGTGCACCAAACTCCGAGTGTGTCTTTTTTGTCTGGTTGTAATAAAGTTTCTCAAGAATTTTGCACATGGGGACAAGAGTGTGTATGCACACGTATTCAAAGCGCCTCAGAAACAGGCAGCAGCATGTTTTCTTGTACAAATATTGACAAGAATCCTTCAGTTTATTTGGAATTTTCCTAAGAAAGCTGCAACAATACAGTAATACCTCTTTGCTACTTTCCACACAGTTGTTTCAACTGCTGGCACCAGGAAATCCTTTTTGTTTTAATCAACACCACTTGGAGTGATGACGTTTCCTTTTTTCTTTTAGTGACAGACATGGTGCATTTCCTTGCACAAAGTTCTCATGAGAGACTTTTGTGCATGTATATCCAACTGCAAATGTGTATTTGTGAGGTAGCTGAAAGAGGTCACTATATTTTCTTCTTCTATTTTTCATCCCAATACTTTATGCGCCGTTGCTGTACTTTCAAATACAAAAATGAACTCAAGAAAAGCAAAGGAACTACTGTCAACAGGTATAGTAGAATATCTGAGGAATATTTGGGAGATAAGGAGTTGTTCATTTAGTGAAGCTTTCAATTTAAGTTCAGTGGTGCTTTCCTCCTCAGTCTCCTTTCTAAGCTTACACGTGAAAAAAACTGTACAGTAAGACATCAGTGCTTTATAATAATTAGACTTAATCAAAGTTATTAAGGTAATTAGAATGTAACATGCACATACCCCAACTACTACACTGTGGTGAATATTTTTGCAGCACCGTACTTTTCTGTGCAATTGTGTATAATACAGACAGAAAGAAGCACTAAGAAATTACTTCTCTTAAGGCTTATGGAAAAGAACTGAGCCCCTACTGAGCTGATGGCAGCAAGAAATGCTCTACTTCCATTGCTCAGAGATCAGTCAGGACTGTCATTCCCCATTCTCACAAACCCCAGGCAACGCCGGAATTCGCCACCTCACACTCATGTCAGTGTTTGGGACCAAAAGAGAAAATGCACTTGTTTGCACAAATAGCACAATGCTATTTCATAACCAGCACCATGAATAACTGAGTGAAATAAACTTTTTGACTTCAAACTTCTACAGCTTAGCACATGCCCTTCAAAGAGCTTGGCTGCAGAAGCTGCACGGTCACTGATCTGCCACAATATACGTGTTTTGATGTCCTCTCTGTTCTTTCTTTCCTCTGCCTTGATGAAGTGAATTTGTAGGTTCTAAGCTTCATCCAGCTAAATAACGCAAAGCAAGCAACATTTTGTGTTTTCTGCATTTTTTTTCCAATTTATCTTCTCCTACTATGACTGAGAATTCCTCTTTGTCTTCCATAGACCTTGACATCTTCCTTCAGTCCCAAACTTCATTTTCTGCACCAGCTCATACCTGTCCAGACAGCAAGAACTTTGGCACCAACTTTCTTGATGGTGGGAGTAAATCCCAAGTTTTATTTGTTTCACAAGGCTTAAGACAAGGAGTTGTTGAATGCATTTGCCTCTCATTGATACTCTTTGTCAACAGACTTTTCAGAGTCTTAAAGTGCAAATGATGACACCACAGCCTGCAACTCAGTAGTTAAAGTATAAAATGTGCCTGAACCATCTCACTCTTTGTAGCTTAAAAAAAAAAAAAAAGAAAAAAGGGGGGGCTTACAAGCAGGAAAGGTGTCAATTTTTTACAGTCTGATACTGATAACACAAGAGGGAATGACTTAAAACTTAAAGAGGGCAGATTTGGGCTAGATGTTAGGAAAAGATTTTTTACTCAGTGCGTTGAGGCACTGGCACATGCTGCCCAGAGCAGCTATGGAAGTTCCATTTCTGGAAGCATTCAAGGGCAGGCTGGATGAGATCCTGGGCAATTTGATTTTGTGCTTAGTAACCCTGTCCATTGCAGGGGGGTTGGAACTAGATGGTCTTTAAGGTCCCTTCCAAAAGAAGCCTTTCTATGATTCTGTGATTCTATGAAGACAATAAAAGTAACAGAAGAAAGAATTCTTTGTTTTCAGAAAAGAAGCTGATATGAAATGGAGCATACAAATGGTTTGACTGCTCCTATTTCCAAACTATAAATTCATTTCTCTTTTCTGAACTAGGCTATTCTTAAGAGGTAATCTCAGATGGTCAGTTCAGGAAGGAAAAAATCATCGAAAGTTAGATTGCATTATTGACACTCAGATATAACAAAAGACTGTAGTTTTTAAATTCTTCTAAGTGACTGGGTAGTCGCTGTATAAATGCCTGAAGACTTATTTTTTAGAATACTAATAATTCACTGTTTCATTTAGGGAAAATATAAGGCCTAATACAGATACTTGTAGAATCATAGAATGGCCTGGGTTGAAAAGGACAACAATGATCATGTAGTTTCAATCCCCCTGCCATGGGCAGGGTGAACAACCACTGGACCAGGCTGCCCAGAGCCACGTCCAGCCTGGCCTTGAATGCCTCCAGGGATGGAGCATCCACAACCTCCTCGGGCAACCTGTTCCAGTATGTCCTCCACCACTCTCTGGGTGGAGATGCATTCAACTTCCTCCTAATACCTAACCTAAACCTCCCCTGCCTCAGTTTAAGATCATTCCCCCCTGTGCTATCACTGTCCACCCTTGTAAATAGTCATTCCCCTTCCTGTTTATATGCTCCCTTCAAGTATTGGAAGGCCACAACTGGAAGAGCTTTCTCTTCTCCAAGCTAAACAAGCCCAGTTCCCTCAACATTTCCCCATAGGAGAGGTGCTCGAGCCCTCTGATCATCTTAGTGGCCCTCCTCTGGACTCACTTCAAGAGCTCCATGTCTTTCTTGTGCTGGGGGTTCCAGGCCTGGATGCAGTACTCCAGATGGGGCCTCACAAGAGCTGAGTAGAGGGGGACAATCACCATCCTCTCCCTGCTGACCACCTCTTTTTTAATGCAGCCCAGAACACAGTTGGCCTTCTGGGCTCCTGGGACCATTCCTCCAGCCTGTCCAGGTCTGTCCCTCTCTATGGCTTTCCTTCCCTCCATTGTATTTACTGCAACACTCAGCTTGGTGCCATCCACAGACTTGCTGAGAGTGCCCTCAGTGCCATCATCTGTGTCATTGATGAAGATGCTGAAGAGCACTGGTCCCAAGACCGACCCCTGAGGGACACCGCTTGTGACCGGCTTCCATCCTAACACAGAACCATTGATCACGTATCTCATATTTGGAAACAGTAGAGATAATGTTGTTTTTTTTTTTTTGAAATTCTTCCAAAAGAGAGAACTATGTGAGTGGTAAGCTATTATTGCTACATTGCAGGACAAATTAGGAGTCTTTTTCTCTTTTTATTTTTATATGCTGAAATATATATATATTCTGAACACTGTGTATCCTTAAGCCATGGAGTCATACAGTCATTTAAATAGGAAAAGACACTTAAAGTTCATCTAGTACAACTTCTCTGCAATAAGCAGGGACACCTTCAGCTAGATCAGTTGCTGACAGCCTGATCCAGCCTGGTCTTGAATGTCTTCAGGGATGGGGCATCCAATGTATCTCAGGGCAACCTGCTCCAGTTCTTCACCACTCTCACTATGCAAAAACCTTTTTCATCATGTCAAATCTAAATCTCCTTTCTTTTAATTGAAACCATTTCCCCCTGTTCTGTCAAAATAGATCGTGCTAAAGAGTCTATCTCATTCTTTCTTACAGCCTCCCTTTAGATATTGAAAAGTCGCTCTCAGGTTCCCCAGAGCCTTCTCTTCCTCAGGCTTAACAGCCCCAGCTCTCTCAGCTTGTCCATGCAGGGGAGGTATTCCATCCCATGGACCATTTTTATAGCCCATCCCCATGTGCATTCAACAGGTCTACACCTCTTCTGTGTTGAACACTCCACACCCAAAAGCAGTGTTCCAGGTGAGGTCTCAACAGCATAGAGAAGAGGGGCAGGATCACCTCACTCTATCTGCTGACCACACTTCTTTTGATGTATCCCAGGATACAGTTAGCTTTCTGGGCTGCAAGGGCACATTACTGGCTCATATTCAGATTACCATCCACCACTATCCCCAAGTCCTTTTCAGCAGGGCTGTGCTCCACCCTTACATTCTCCTAGATTGTATTGATAGAGAGGGTTACCATGATCCAGGAGCAAAACCTTGAACTCGGATTTATTGAAACTTGTGAGGTCCACCTGCTTGAGCCTTTGATTGATCCAAACAAATTTTAAAAATCACAGCAGTAAGAATAAATTAAACCAACAACATACCCATTTCACAAGCAAAAATTCTGAATTTAAATGCTAGCTCTGACCTCTGCTCCATGCCCAAAG